ACTCCTCAGAATACAGTAGTGACTTCTAACCCAGAAGGAACAAAAAGCAAGCAGACATGAGGCTTTCTGGGATGGATGGATGGATGGATGGATGGATGGATGGATGGATGGATGGATGGATGGATGGATGGATGGAATCAGTGTCTTTTTAGAAGACAGGACACATTCCCAGTCAGTGGATAATTAATTACTCACATGAGTAATATTTAAAGAAACAGAGGAGGTGAAGAGACCTGAAAGCTTCCCAGAGAGATTGTATTGAAGGCACTTAGAGCAAACACTCTCAAGAACCATTTACAGATTCAATTTGTGTGATTGCACAAGATGCTTAAGAAACTCACCTTTTCTATGAGCTCAATGCAGGCAGCCAGGTCCATGCCAAAGTCAATGAACTCCCATTCAATTCCCTCCTTCTTGTACTCCTCCTGCTCCAGCACGAACATGTGATGGTTGAAGAACTGTTGCAGTTTCTCATTGGTGAAGTTGATGCACAGCTGCTCAAAGCTGTTGAACTGCCCAAAGCAAGGAAAGGTGCACAGGTTCTCAAGGTGTGCCAAAACACACAGGCCTTGGCTGCCGTTCTCCTAAGATTGTTTGAACTTGAAACACCAGTCCAAACCCTGCTATACCAGCATGTGTTTCTACTCTAAAACTCACAAATGTCCTTGAAGGACATTTTCATTATTACTTTGCAAATCAAGCCAAAAGTGACAATTCTTTTTCACTGTGCTACTCAGCTGCAAGTCTTTGGGAAGCTCAGTAGCTTCATGGTGTCAGTTCTCTGAGCTGATGGACAGCAGAAACCTCCTCAGTGTCCCACCCAAGAATTTCCCTGGCCTCAGAAAAATAATCTGGGCATTTTGTGTTCTGACACAGAAGTCCTTGCATCATCACAGCATTCACAGAACAGGAAACACGCTGTGAACTTGCCCAGACCACTGTCTTCACAAAAGCATCCAACCCTGTGGCCCATAGCTGTGTAAGCCTTAGTCCTCTATGTGCTTCTGAGTCCTCCTGACCTGTCCTTGCCCATTGCTTGACTTTGGTGTCAAACCCTTGCTCCTTACATCAAAGATCTCAAAGCCAGCAATGTCCAGCACACCAATGAAGTACTGCCTGGGCTGCTTTGTGTCCAGCTGTTGGTTGATACGAACAACCATCCACAGGAACATCTTCTCAAACATTGCCTTTGCCAGGGCACCCACTGAATTGTTCACCTAGAGCAGAGACAGGATTGGAATTACCTCTGAAGGGCAAGGAAAATTGTGTACATATTCCTTCAAGCTGTGCATTCTTGACTGTCAGATGTTACCTGTGTCACATTTTGACCTTTGGTCACATATTCATTCCCAACCTTGACTCGGGGGTAACACAAGGCCTTGAGAAATTCAGCTGAGTTTAGGCCCGTTAGGTAGGCAGCCTTGTCAGCCACTAGAGGTGGGGGGAGAGAGAATGAAAAAAGCATTTGTTTACATTCAGTCTCTGGAATTCAGGTGTTGTGAACAACTTTGCTGTTCATGTTCTAGGAATGGAAGAGGATTTATCTCATCCCATACAGAAAGCCGGTGAAGGAATGCAAATTCTGGGCACTACTGGTGATAGTCTTTGAAAGAAAGAAAGAACAAGTATGGCTTGGATAGGAAGAGCTTGAACCTGGAATTTCCCAGAAGAACAACAAAAGCCTCCAGCAGGACATAAGGCAAGGCATATTCTCTTTCTGTGGGAAGGGGATTTCTGGGTAGCACAGCTTGTAGAAATTATTTCATCAAAAACACTGTTGCCCATCAGGGTGTCTTAATGCTTGGAGGTTTTCAAGAGTGAGAGAGAAATATCCTGTGTTGAAATTGCAGTTTCTGCTTTCAGGCAGCATGATTTGGGGTATCCACCATTGGGTAGAATAATGGAACTTCCCATGACTAGGAAAGAACCTCTGCAGTTAGAGAGACCGGGGGCAAAAAAGGAATTTTCAGTGTTTTATGTAGTGTGCTTCTGGAGGATAACATATTGCCTCTGGAGGCAGAGAAGGGCATAAATCAGCCCCTGAGTTTGCTGATACCTTCAGTGCCATCAGGCTCTGCCTGCTCCTCTCGTTGTTTCTGCTTGAACTTCAGGTTCCCGTAGTGCATGACAGCCCCTGTCAGCTTGTAGATGGCTGTTTTCTCATCTGCAGTGAAGCCCAGGATGTCAATGGCACTCTGCAGTCAAAATAATGAATTCAAAAATGTGTCCTTAGTGGGTCAGAGATGTCACCCTCAAGACATGCCCTGTAGGTACTTGGTTGCTGTGTTACTTACATCTGTAGCCATCAGCTCCTC